ACTAAATCTTATTGTTTCAAAGAATAAACACCCTTCGACCTGAAACAAAGTGAAATTGTGCATCTATTCAAAGCTTGTAGGCATACAGAAAATCAATAATTAAGAGGTATTTCCATTTCATTGATATCTTGTTTACATTGTTCATACAAAAGTTATGAAGTTGTCACGTTTTCTGTAATTCCGCAGGCTAATTATGTAAGGGTCCTATTTAATCAATTATTATTATTAAAATAAAATAAATGAAGTATAATTATTCTCCAGTTAAAAGTATTATATTCAATATTTTCTATGAAATCTAAAGATGCACTAATGCGCTGTACATTACTTGTGCACTATTTACTTAAGCTAAAAAGGATGGAGATAAAAAAGAATAAGGAACGAAACAAAATCAATGGGAAAACAGGATTCGCGTTGTCGATGCTCCGACTCTCTCACCGTGGTTAATCTTGCTCCTAGCAAAGCTACAGAAGTCAATAGTTTGAATAAAATATAAACATGTTGCGCAGAAAAAAGGTCAGCGCAATATGAATTACTTGTGCACCATTTGCTTAAGCCAAAAAAGCTGGGGAAACACACAAGCAAATAAAACTAAACAACAACATAAACAGAACAAACAAACAAAACAAAATCAATGCGAAAACAGGATTCGCATCAACGTGGGAGAGTGCAGGGCTTAACGGCTCAAACACACTTCACTTTTAATATCTACATACACATTGAATTATTTTAATACTTATAAAGGTGTACATGCATTTCGATTCGACCTGAAATCTCTGTATTTGAAATTACGTTTGTATTTCTTTACGTTTCTCATCATCATTCGCATCCTGCAATTACGCCCACCATACGTTTCTTCCATCTCGCAGAGATATATGTTTCAATTCCTTTTTTTCATTTATTTTTTTCTTCTTGTTACTTCCTTTTCTTCGTAACCGTAGTTAATCAAAACCAATCTCCAACCTTGAGTCATTAATCTGACTATTATACGTGCGATTTATCGTATCTTTCCAGGCTCAGCTTCAGATAGGCAAGATTTAATTAAGTTCACGCTAACGCGTCTAACTTTTTCGCAAGCCCTTCTCATTTGTCGCCCTTTCCTATCGCGCCAAATGTCTCCGCATTAGCGGGTCGGAGAAAAAAAAATTGCTTTTCGAGCGCATAAATTAACCTGTCAATATTATCGGAGAAGCCACCCTCCGCGATCTCGAATTTTTATTTCCCTGTCCCTCTTCAAGAGAACTTCGCGAAGCAAGAAACATTCATAAATCAAAGGGACGTAGACGCGAGACATAACAAAAACAAAACGGAAAGTAGAGAAAAAGGAAACTGGAGCGACGGGAAATAATAATTGGGCGGAAACGAAGTGGATGTGATGTTTTCGTTGAGGCGAGCAGAACTTGAACTTGAGGAGATGGAAAGAAAGTGCAGTGACGGTAATTATGTATCGAGCGTCTAAGTACAAAGGTGCACTTTTTCATTTCATTATGTGAATCCAAGCATTATATTACTATATATTATGTAATAAAAATAATTTACACAATATATATACCTATATTATAATATAAATGGTATATAGATTAGGGTTGCTCAGTCTCAGATTTTTTTGATTCCCGGGACACGAGACAACTGTTTAAAGCATTCCCGGGAATCTCGGAAATCGAGAAATTTAAAAAAGTCGTTTCATTAAACATTCAGCAAATGAAATCACGATTGATTTTGAACAACCAGAATAAATAAATTCTTCGGCTTTATAAGTTTCTGGATTATGTAGATATTTCAATAAAATCCCGCTTCAGTAACCTTAATATAGATACATACGTTATATAATATAATAATACATTTGAATATAAGCTATGGGATTGTGTTTTTCTTTTATGGTAAACCACATGAAGCATCAAACTAATTACGATACTGCTCGTATTACGGACGAACAAGGGTGGCCGATTAAAGGGCTCCGTTGCGTAATTGGATTAATTTGTTATGCCCGATTTTTTTATCCATCCGACCGATGATCAATTACCGAATTCGGTATCGGTTGAGGGTATTCCGTACGAAAACCATCAATGGTGGATTCAACATATTTTTTATCTAATTGAAAGATATTATTTAAATAATTATCCTTTATTTCACTAGAACATTTATTACGTTAGAATATTTAATAATAATTTATTAAAAGTTGAATAAAAAACTGTAGGATTTGAGTATTCAAGGTATAATAATGATATATATTTTTCTTTTTTCGTTGATGTTTTAGGATTTACTGGTAAGATCTGCGAGGAGGAGACGGATCCTTGTACTTCGATGCCTTGTCAGAATGGGGCAAAATGCATAGGAAACGCGACCGCCTTCCTGTGCGAATGTCCCAGAGGATACACGGGAGTCCTGTGCCAGCACAACCTGAACGAGTGCGAATCTTCGCCCTGTGTAAACGGAATTTGCGTTAGCCACGATGACGGATACAAATGCTTTTGTCAACCTGGTAAGTGGATTTGCTTTCCAACTCCTCCCTCATGATAACCCCCGAAAACCTCCCTTAAAAAAAAAACAACCAAAAGGAAGGTGTTTACAGCATGTGCATTAGCGTTGCCGATACGACAACTTATTACCTGTAATTAACACCTTCTATAAATTTTCGACGCTTGGTTGCAAACAATATAACCGCGTTACAGTAGCCGCCGTTCACAATAATATGCTTAGCTCTGACTTCGGTTCGATGCTCATTTCGACATCCAACAGCATAACACATAATTTATATACATCGATGCATCTATAACAAAGCCAATATATGGAAGCAAACTACTCCAAGCGAACATCCACGCATCCGTAAACTTCTGTTTCATCCAACTCGCTTTGCAATAATACATGAAACTGCAACAAAATAATGATATTATTAGTAAATTACAAATATTAGATTTATTTTGATCATTTTATTCCAATTTTTTTTTTCTAAAAAGAGCTACCATATAGCAAAATTTATTTATCCATCAAAAATAGATAAGTTATACAGAGATGTATGATTTAAGCTATGCTAAAAATAAATAATAGAAAGTAGATTTTAGTTGAATTGAGAAGGATTCCGCAATTGCGTATCTTCGGTAGCGCAAAAGAGCTGTTCCTGGGGATGCTGTATTATCTAACGAAGTCTGCCGCAAATCCGATTACAGCTTAATGGCGAGAAAGCATCGGGATGGGAAGAACAATTAAATTCATGCAAGTCGGCGGAATTTCGGGTGTAGGTGCGACGCGTCCCTAGGATCAATAGGATTTTAAATATTTTAAGGGAGCCGAAGTTTATCCGTCGGGCAAAACCGGGAAAATTTCCAATTTCAAAACTTTTAATGGCTACGTCATATGCTCACGAAAATATCGCCCATGTGGTTAGGGGTGGATCGGAATAAATCGCACAGCTTGGTACTTTTTTTTTCACTCTGAAAACGTTACGTTCGACTTTTTGTTGAATAATACTAATAGTTTTTATAAATTATTGAAGAAAATCATTTTGATAATATTAAACTCTATGTAATACATTCCCAAATTATCTTTTATATACTGAAGCAGGCACCCCTCGACCGGAAGCCAATTGTTATGCAACGTTCGCAAATAGTTTATATAAAACTTGGGCGTTTTGTGCGATGTTAATTCCCGGAGTTTCGCAATTAAAAGTTTCGACCCCGGCGTTTGTATTATTATATTAGAGAATGTGATGACGCAGACACAAAGGGCGAAGGTCAGACGTTGCGGAGGGTGGAAGGTGGCATTGTTGTTGTTGTTGTTGTTGCTATCACGTATCCGTTTACCCACTCCACTCTTCAATCGCGTCAGTTGTTGTTGTTGTTGTTTGCGCAAACCCAGAATTGCCCAAATATCGTTATTAATAATGCAAGCACATTAATAATCGCGCCGGACGCAAATCGACGAGAATAAATCAACATTTGCATATGATTAACAAGAGATTACGGTTTTGTGAACTGAATTTTGTGCGTTCTTTTCGTTGCTTAAGCTCCAGATTACGTAACGATGATCTATTTTGATTTAGATGGATAGGATTTCGCCGATACGAAGCAACAAACATATTTATTTGAAACGCTTAAAACGATCTGACCAAAATCGAGCGAGCATGCATATCAATTAGCGTTAGTTAAATTTCAAATTATTTCGCCCTGATGAACCCCCGGCTCACTGATTCCACAAATACCGCCGCGAACAGTGATTAATGTTACGCAATCTCCATTTATGAAACCGAAACTGAAACTCTAGCGTGTAACAAATATAGGCACTTTTCTAATAATTAATAGTTTCTTCAGCTTTTGATATTTTTGTTTACTATAATAAATGCAACAATTCTTAATGAAGTAAAATCTCTCGCGAATTTCATTAGTTGCATAATACTAAAGAGTAACGTGGTATTAATGAAATTTTAATGGCACCGCCTGTGGTTTCATATGTTACAGTAATTAGGCTGTTAAGCTGTTTTAAAGTTAACCAACAAATTTACTGTTTCCGTTTTGGTTTGTAATTTATTTCTTAAATTTATGCATTTCGAAAAGTTACAGCTTTGCTCAAAATTTGTAAATAAATAATGGAAATAATATATAGACATTTCTTTTATTTATTATGAAAAAGGTGATTTTGTTTCATTATTTATGTAACAATATAGTCTGTTTTTGTGATGTATCCCATGATGGGAGTACAATCTATCTGGAGCATTAGGTTTAGGTGTTAGTAGGTTGGGCGCTAAAGCTCAAGGGACCTTTGGTGTAGGGTTATCGGGCGTAGCCTGAGAGGATGATATAAATTGAAGGCGTGGGCGCAGGGACGTGTGTGACCGTCGCGACTTAATGGAATGTTACCCTCATTTAAGCTTCATGCACCGATGCATTTTTCCACTTGTCTGATTGAGCAGCTCGCGCAGGGCAGAGCAGGGCAGGGCTCGAGTCCCTCGGATTTATAACTATTTGGATAGGTGGATCGTTCGAGAGATTTAATTTAAGGAGATTGTTGTAATTTAGATTATCTCGCTGAAATGGATGATCCCTATTAAGAAACCCTGCTCGCAGCAGCCGGGATTGCCCCGCGCTACCTTCTTCTTTCCAGCTCTCTTTATACGCGAATCCCAAAGGGCGCGCCTCCCCCCCGTTACCCCACCACTCTGCGTCCCGGGACGACTTCGGTTTATAATTAAAGACGACCACTCTTGCATCACACAATATCTCATCCCTAATGAATTCATGTCTCCGTTTGCCGCAGGATACACCGGCGAAAACTGCGAGTTGCAGTACAACGAATGCCAGTCCTCGCCCTGCGTCAATGGTGGTACATGCATCGACCAGATCGGAGGATTCACCTGCAACTGCGGCAGAGGCTTCACCGGTCACCGATGCCACATCAAGGTAAGAATCAAGGTGGTCAAAGGACTTGCTGACACCTCGGTTGTTGGCTAGGTGGACCTCTGCGAACCGAACCCTTGTCCCGCTCCCAGGTACTGCAAGGACCTTGGTAACAGCTACTCCTGCTTCTGTCCGAACGGATTCTCCGGTATCGACTGTCTGCAAACCTATCGCCCGGTAAGTCGCTCAACAATTTCGCTCCTGTGGGAATTACTCAAACATGATGCACTTCCAATGATTATTTGTCATTTGCATCTACACGTAACCAAAATGCTTGCAGCTGATTTGGATTTATTTAGAGTCACTTGATTGCTTCGTCCGTATCTTAATTGAATGCGCACGATTTTGGTCATTTGGGATTCCTGTTTGTGTCCAATGTTGTCCTCGCAATACGCCAACTGGGAATAGCACGTTGCATCCTCCAACTAACCTTATATATATATATAAACCAGAAACCAATTTCAATTCAAACGAAACACGAATGCAAAAGAAAACATACGAGGAAACTGACGTGCCAAATAATTACGATTCGCAAATTTCAATTAATCAAGTACGCAAACCTCGAAGTTTCAACGAAAAACTACACACAACTATATATAACAGATATAGCAGAGTAACAAACAGCGTACGCAAATATTTGGCGAGATTTATGAATTTCGCCGCAGTGAAATATTTCAGCTGTTCGAATCGAGTCGTCGACGAATACATTGCAAAAATAGTGTAATTAATTTCACTAGATTTTTCGACCAAGCACATACATCTAGTTAACAATTCGAAGCTATGCACATTGTCCACTCAAACCGATACACATTTTATTTTTTCACATCTTTCGAAAACACGTTCTCTTCCGGCGTATTTCAATGCATTTTATTTTTCATTTTATACAATTCGAATGAAATGCAGCATCAGTCTGTAAATCATCGACCATTTAAAATACATAAGCTTTGATGCTGACTTTTTTTTTAAATACGTTTTAATGCAGACGTACAATTTGTATAAGTGCAATTTTGTAATTTGTTTGTGATTACTTTTCAGTGTTTTTAAACGTACATAGAACATTTCACTATGACAAATTAATTACTAACAATAATTGCATAAAGCTCTTAAAATTCAAATATTTAATTAATTACTTTCATAAATAAAAATGTGTATTTATTTTTTAATAAGACTATATGAATAAGAATTGTTTTGGAAAAAAAAATGTGAAATATTGAAATGTATTCATATGAAATCAATGAAAATACTGTCTTCAGCCATGATAAATGTCTCTATCATATTGCTTGACAATACGTTTAAAAATCTCGCTAGAATTCCTGAATATATTGCATGATGCAGCGATGCGATTTCGTACATATTCAATTTCGATAATCGAAAAAATATTCCAATTTATTTTATTGAAAATTTTATATTTATGAAGTTCAGGTTTTAATATAAAAAAATATTACATTAATAGAGAGGTAAAGCTAAGAACAAAATTACGTTTTTGTTCTCTAACTTTGATCCTCAGGCATGCAGCACTAATCCGTGCAACAATGGTGGTACTTGCTGGAGCAGCATGAATTCCTTCTACTGCGCTTGCAGACCTGGGTTCACCGGAAAAACATGCGAAGGTAAGTGGCGTTTGGTAGTTGTCAAATGTCCTGTTGTAACAAGGCCATGTTTGCAGAGGAGTTTTACGTGGAAAAAATTTCAGCAAAGGAGAGCATCATCAAAGAGAACGGCATGGATTTGGAGATGCCCATCTCCATACACTTTGACCATTTGCACAGTTTCTACATCGCCGCCGGCACCCTTCTCTCCGCTGTTCTGATCGTATTGGTCATCGTACGTGATCTTAAGATTATGATGAGCATTGCATGATAATCTTGTGTATGAATCTTTCTGTTTCGTAGGTTACCGTCTGCCATTGCAGGGTTAATAAAACTTATAAGCGCTTCACCCTCAGGACGTATCCGCTTTGGGGTCCCGGTCGTCCGGCTGAGCCGACTGTTCCACCGGCTAATAAGTAAGTAGTTTTAATTCGCCCTCAACTTTCTATATAATTAGGGGGATGCAAACCCTTTGTTAATGTCACGACCAGACGTGCATCATTATCTCCCCACGCGCCCATCCCCCGAAAATAATGAACCGCCCCACTTCATCTCCTGCACAACAAAACGGCCGGACACACATCCGAACGGTCCAATTTCCAGTTCAATATGTAAACGAACACATTTTCAACGTATACACTATTTGGGAAAATTACCACGCATTTAGCTATTTGCAAAGCGAATGGAGGGAACACTATTGAAGCAAGTACAATCACAAAGTGCGCAAGTACAGATATGTTTGCTTTCAAGTTATTTGTACAGTGAAACATTCAGCAGTTTAACTGTTAGCTCAAATTCACAAAAAAAAAATATTAACCAAAGTGGACAAATTTTCATGAAATACCCTTGACGATGCTAATGCAGCGCTGTGCTCCTCTTTAATAAATATTTGATGGCAGGAAACTGGCTTCAAGTATGAATATAATATGCCTTTTCCAAATAGCATTAAGAAATCAGCTGCAACCTCTCAGCTATACCTCGCAGCATCAATCTGCTACATTTAATTAGACCGACTTATATAATTCATATAGTAAATATCGTTCGTCGGGCGCCGCTTCAAGTTTGTAACACGGTGAAATACGCGTACCAAAAAGGGTTTTGATTAAAACTTAGTTGACTGTTGATATCTGGAGTACACACTATTACGCGCAAACTTTGCGATGAGCCGTGATGAAAACTGAACTATTTGATGCTACCATTTTTTTTTTGTTATTGTCTACCATCAACTAATTGGAAATTATCGATAATGAAACTTCTACAAATTTGCTTTGTTTTTTAACATTTATTTAGATTATTTCAAACAAAAACAATCTAATTAATTGAAATTGAAAAATTTTATTAATTTAGTTTTTTTTCGAAAAATTTTCTTCGATTTGCATTTATTTTGTAAATGTGGAAATATTATGGGTTAAAAGGAATAGAATTGTATTGAACGTCTTTTGTGATCGCGTCCAATTTGTAAATAATCGCGATCCGTCCATTGTTGAAAATATGTCCCGAAATTCAATCCGTTCAATTCTCTGTGAATTATTAGTTTTCTCCCCTCAATACGTTAGGCCCGAAGCAAGGGCTGCGCCATTGATTTCTTGCTATCACCGAACTTCCACCTCCCTCCCCCCAACATACATAGATATTTCACTACATAAAAATATATTAAAAACGAGAAGAGAGAAAAAAAAGAGTGAAGAGAAGAACGGAAAAGTTCCGCTCCGGCCGTTTTTTTTACGTGTCCCGTTGAAGTTTTAGAGGCTTTCGATCCCCTAAACACACAAAACTGGGCACTCTGCCACTAATATACCTTATATAATCTGTGCAGCAGCGAGTGGTTCTCCAATAAGGACAAGGCACCCATGGCTACACCCAGTCGCAGTTTGCCATCGCTGGATACCACTGACATGTACTACACCTTGGACTTTGGCGAGAGCCAGAGTTCACCGCTGATTCAGTAAAGTTCAGATCGCGGTTGGATTCTCCCCGGTGCGGGTTGGATTTGGGAATTGGAGTCACCGGGGTTAAAAAAAAAGTTTAAAAAAATATACACTGATGAAAAAAAATATGGTGCACTTTCACACGCATTTTAACCAAAACCAAAAAAAATATATATATAACGCATATATAACCGCAAACGTAACGTTTGAAAGTCCCTCGCAGCGAATTAAAGGAAAGACATAATGTAGTAGCATAGGATTATAAAATAAACACATGAAATGTTCTCTGTTCAATGTATATTAGCCGAATACAAAAATTGCATCCTATAAAAAATAATATAATAATATATATTCTGGTGTATTCGGCTGTACCCTCGCATTGTAGTAGTATTTATTTTTTTTTGTCGATGTTAAACCTCCTCTAAAAATGTTGCAGAAGCATACGATGATGATGATAATAATACAAATATTCTACTTGTTCGCTATGAATCCTGTGACATGTATGCAATTCCTGCTGACTTTTTGACCCACAGCCCTCCCCCACATTCCATTATACTAATATGAGCTTATATAACAAATACGGATTACTATTAATTAAATGTATATTCAAAAACAAATGAGATTTTTTCTTCTTTAAACCCAATTCTCCTTCCAATTATTTATTTACTTACTTTTATTCACAGAAATCCAAAATTTATTGAAATATCCTTCAAAATTATTTAAAAAAAAATAGTCCTGATTGGTCTTTTCATTGATTTATTAATTATTTATAATATTTTAATCTTCTCTTGTCTGGCTTGCAATTTATGCACGTTCACATATCATTTTCCTAGGTAGTAGCGGACCTCCCTAATATTTTAATGTGTTGATTTTTTTTCAATTTTTTTACACGAATGACAGCCAACTGTTTTCATTCCAGCTTTTAAAAGTTTCCGAGAAAATCAATAAATTGTTAAATAATTTTGGTTTCAATAGACTCAATTAATATTAATAACTAATGCATACAATAAGTATTTTTGTTTTTTTCGTTTTTCTAATTCATTATAAATTTATTTTTTTAATGATATAACATTTGATGATACTCGAGGTAAGTATGTCATTAGCTATGATCGATCCTTAATCGCAGTGATTATAGCTGATGCAGTGTCGAACGTGTATGAGTTAAATCTGAAAGTTCTTTACTGCTCGAAGGTGTGAAAAGGTTTAGTATGTCTTGCAAACTTCAGAACTCTTTAGATGTCCTTTGGCAACGGGTGGACAATGCATGGGAATCAAGCCTTTGGGATAGAACTTAATGTTTGCTTCTAGCAGCAAAAGTAAAAGAATAAGTAGCCCAGAAGATCTCCGCTCCGAATGCCCTCGGTTCTACAAAGGACTTCCAAACAAAAGCTTATAAAGTTGCAATTCGGATAAATTTCTTTATTTCCCATTCCTTTATATCAAATATTGAGGTTCACTTAAAAATCTACAGATAATATTCTAGTCCGGTGTAAATATTGAATGATACGAGCGTTCACCCAGTATTGCCTACCCTAAAATGCATGTATTTTTAAAGCAGTTTCAAATACTCGCCATCTATTCCCATCTAACTACATCCCCTTTGTTTTCCCAATTCCATACTAGATGGCGGCTCATTCGGATACATATTTAATACGAAAATATAAAATAATAATTAAAGATTACATAATTACATTATAAAGAAATAAATATAATAATTCTACATCCAATATTAAAAATACTAAATGAATGACCTATAGATTATACTATAATTATTAATAACAATTTCGAAAGGATTTTGGTTGTTTCGGCTATAGTATTGATTATTTAACAACATTTGTGTTTAAACAATAACATTAATATCTTATATATTACGTGAATGATTAGCAAGTGTGCATTATACGTGTGTATTATAGCGAAAAACGCTCTCTGTGCGGTGACAGCAGTAACTTGTAGTTCAAAATTTGTCCGCTCCTGAAAAATCAATAACGTCGCTTTCAGTCACGTTTAAATCATAATTTGCGTTCAAATTCAAACATTTACAGCATAAAATAAATATAAAAACATAATAATTACCTAGAATTTTCTCCAATTATTATAATCAATCATCATTAAATATATGTTTAACGTATAAAAAATTAAATGATGAATTTATTTGTAATTTCAAACAAATTAAAATGTTTAATAAATTAAAGTTAAATATTTAATTTAAAAATAATTGTATTTTCTTCTTATTAAAATTGATAAAAATAAATTAAAATATTGTAATTACTTTTGTTTTGTTTTTTTTTTTTCAATTTTTGTGTGGAAAATATAAATGCAAGGTGGATATAATCAATTTCATTTACAGTGATATAATTGCGTGGGATCTTGACAGGAAGACGATCGGCGCTGGAATGGTTAGTGTGCAACGAGCGCGCCGTCCCGAAGGTCAGATCAGCTCTGCACTTGAAACCCTTTCGGGAAGTTCAAAACTGTTGCACATGCCAAATGACGTACTAAAGTACAATTCGAAAGGATCGCTCTTTTTCCCATGTAGTTAGGTTTTGACTGCTCACTAAATATGACGTTTTTACGTAACTACAACTGCGCTTACATCCTGCAGATACTTCTCATCCAGCTAACCTTAGGTTTGGTATAGTGCAATTCCTGATGGACATAGTGATGATTTATAAGTGTTTTTCAGTTGGATGCGTACAAGTATGTGATAGTGACGAAGAATGTCTTGGAAACAACATGCTCTGCAAGGGCAACGAATGCATTTGTGACAAGTAAGTAATAACTTTTAATTCAATTAATTCATGTTTATTACATTGATTTTAGTTTACTTTTATTAGAAAATAAATACATTTTGCTGTACAATAATTGCACGTAATTTTCAATAATTGGGAAATTCGTATTAAAATCCAGATACAATTATATTATTTCCACGACCAAATAATTATTATATAACTATTTAAATACGAAAAATTAATGAAATAATCAAAGTATTGCGATAATCAAAAAATTAATTTAAATATGGTCTTTATCTTATTTTGTTTATTTTTATTATTTATGATTTATATAATTATTTTTTTCAATTCTTGATATCAGACCAATAAATTATGATTATTATTATTAATTAATTAAAATTTGATTCTTTTAATTTAGTCGATTTCATTTCTAAAATACATGTTTTCTCGTACATCATTAAAATTGATTTGTAATAATTTGTGATGATGATTTTGTCAATTATTTCATCTAATTCCGTCACATTGACGCAATGAAAATTATTGATTTCATGTTATTCCCATTTGTTTTAATTAATAAAAAAAATAGTTTCATTTTTTTTAGTAAAATTGCTGTTAATTAATATTAGATAAAATAATTAATGGAAATAATGTGAGACGAACATATGTAAACATAAAAAGATGAAATTATAGAATCTTCTCGAAATGAAACAACTAATAATTGATTCTGTAGCATCAAGAATGATAAAAATCTCCCTTCATGATGAAAGACCCGACAGTCCCCTGATGCATAGTCGTAGGAGACTGCCGCTCGTCGAACATTAAAACATAAATATGAAACAGACGTGTGTTTCAACATTGAAGTTGTTTAAAATACGTCTCTTCAAGCGCTGCAGCAACTCTGCGCGATTTTCTGCATTCTTAAGCAAATTTAACTTGTTAATATAAGTGTTCACAATGTTGTTGTGTATTGTTACCGGCCTGTGTATTCTGTTGTCTTGTAGCTCTTTAGGTAGCTCAGTCGTTTTTTTATTAAGTGGTCTTATTTTAATATTAGGGTTTTGTTGGTCTCTTCGAAGTGCTTTTTCATATAGAACAAGCCCTCATGTAGGAGTCTCTGGAAGGAAGACTGGAAGTTCGTTGTCCTGTCGCCCTGGAAGTGATCCTCTTGCAGAATCTATGTTTCACTGCAGAAGATGTTCGCTGATTTCAGCGTCTGTAATGTCCAGGTCCACACGTTGTGGCCGTGTTTTTTGGCTTCTTCGGAGGAACGCTCTTGATGTAAGACAAGATGTTGCCCAAATCCCGCACATTGGATAGATACACAGCCTTAGGGTTGTCTAATTTCAAAATGAAGCCTGTCTTGGTTTCCAGAATAACATTCTTTCGGTTGCCCTCAACCATAATTTATATAGTTGCGATCTCGTTATCGCCTCACGCACGTTTACCAAAGATTTTTCATTTGCAAAATACTTTTCCTTATCTGCGGACCAGCAGGTTTTTGTGGTGTTTTGAAGACTTCGACACTACCATCTTTGGTTTTCATTGTAGTAGTTTATTTTGCCGATTATTTCTTGGGTCTTCCTAGCTTCCGCTTTCACTACTCTCATCCGGAAGCAATGGCATCCGAAAGGCAATGTATCTGTGACCTCTGCCCTCAATCGAACTGAATTTTTTAATATTTTTTGAAAAACAAAAAAAATTACAAGTTAAAAAATACAAATTTAATTTAATTAACAAATCAATTATTGAATTATTTTTAGTTAACTAATTTGAGTTTATATCCAATTGTGGTAGAAATAAAATATAATGTTAATTATAAAAGTAGTAATTCTGTGAATATTGTTACAGTGGCCAATATGTTAATCCACCGGTAACCACCGAAGCTGCAGTCTTGGAAACAACTCTTGTCCCGATTGACGAACGAAAACGTAAGCTAAATCTCAATTACTTATACAGTTATCAAGGCAGTGGCGGAACTTTGAGCCGCGTTTCATCACATAATTGCACCGGCATTTAGTAAACACTTTGGGCATAGATTATGTTAAGTGTCATAGATAAATTAGTATACTTTTTAAACGCGAGTAGTTAAAAGTTAAGAACCAACAGACCTTCATCAATTTTTGTATCTGATTTTTAGGTTTTTTCTTTATTTCTAATCAAAATTTGCGTGGTGCTATCAAATTTGTCTATGTACCTCAATACTAAAAAAAACACGAACGACTTAAGGACTCGGATAATATATTTTGCATTTGAAGTTCCGCCGCTGTATCAAGGATTTAAAGTAAATATTCAATAAAGCTGCAAGTATTTTAAATATAACTAATTACAAAACAACTTTGAATATTAGGTTCTTACGCAGTCTCTTGGTAATCCAAACAATTAGTACAGGTATCCCCGACTTACGAACTAGTTCCATTCCAAAGGGTTGTTCGTAAGTCGGGGGAATTTAAAAAATTTCAAAATATCGTGGTTTTTACTTTAATATATGTAAAATTCCTTATTACGCACTGCATAAATTTGAATTAAAATAAACAAAATACTTACTTACAAATACTTTTCAATATAGACATCACAATTATTTAATAAAAAAAAACGACAAAAGAAACAAATGCAACAAAAAAATATTGTATTTTATTAAAGAAATTATCATTTTTTGTTTGGACAGTTAATTTTTTTTTCACTACATATATCCTTGTAACAAGTTAGATCTTTTAGAATTTTGTTCGTAAGTCCGGGAGTTCGTAAGTTGGGGGATACCTGTATATGATAAAATAGTGGAAGAAAATTTATATTGTGTCTTTGTAGACGGCGCAGAGGAGGCGATGTATCTGTACAGAATTACCAGTACCTTCACGTTGTATCTATTCCTAACCGTCTTTATCGGGCTTTTTTGGTATGGCCTTTACCTGGCTGTACTGTAAGTTATTGTTTTAATTCAATCATTGAATTCGATTCTCAAAGCTTTCTCGTTTCAGAAACCGCCTCAGACGCGATCCTCAGATAGCTATAAGACAAGTAAACATAAATAACAAATATAATATTTTGTCCTATCCAAACATTTTTTTTTTCCAAATTTTTGGGCAAATTATTTGTTTGCTCTTAATACTTTTGAAATTATATAAATTTATTTTTCATAAATAGATTTAGAACATTTTTTCTCTCTTAAAATGCATTCATTTTTGTATATATAAATATGGATAATTACAAATTAAAACTACAATCTTTAATTTTGTTATATATAGAAAGTTGAATCATTGAAATCCTTATAGAAACCATTACTTTTCAACCATTTTATTTTTCATATAAATATAAATTGTGTAAATAACAAAATTAAAAATTCTGTAACAATAATAAGATTTTTCAAATTATATTGTATTCATTGCGTGCTGTTTCTAGAATATGAACATTCCAAAGACGACGTTGCTTACATCTCCAGGGAAACTTGGAGAGTGATCATTGTTATCCTTTTTGTGTTAACCTTAATGGCTATAACGTTGCGTATCTGGTGCACCCGTTTTAGGTAAGGGAGCACGGGGTAATTTTTCTTAGCAATTTCTTGACTATTTTTTTGGGGTGCGTTTTAGAGAGATCCGCAACTTGAAGCTTGAGCAGCGACGAGAAGCGGAGGCCGTTTAGAATTCCCGTTCAAAAATTTACTCATTTCCTTCTAAATGCACACATATACTTTCATACCCATGCACATACTCGTATATACCTAAGAAGAGGAAATAAATGACCTGAAAATACAAAAAGAAAACAATTTATATCTAATGTAAAACTTAATTATAATATTGGTATTTGAATAAAGCAATTAAGAAATTAAATGAGTTTTAATTGGCTTTTCCTTTGAGTTAATTAATTAATTGCAATTGTTTTGATGCAACGAATCCTTTTATAATCCGATTATTTCCGCGATATTTATATGCACAATTATGCAAATTGATGGTAACTTCAAACAACATAAGTGGAAGCTAATTATTAATGATTTCTCTTTAACGAAGTTCGAATTGCTGCGTAATTGGTAGGAAATATGATGAGATTCTTGAAAAATAATCAATGGACAATATGCAGCTGTACACATTTTTACAATTTGTAAAGGTCAAAGTGTTATAATTAATTTATTTTCATTTTAATAAATGAATAATTACGAGTTACGTCTTTATATTTGAAATAAGAAATATAAGATATTTAAAAAATAATAAAATTTTTACTTATTGATATGTTTATATGTTATTAATATGAATAAATAATTAGTATATACACGTTGAAATGTATTTGGTATAACAAAATGTAGCCCTTAATATTTCTTTTAATACGTAAAGAGAACTGTCTAATGGTAACATTTTTCTGATAGGCGAGAGATTCAAATTATAAAAATAATGAATGAAACAAGAAATATTAGGTCAAAAGTCAAAAGTTCTGAGCGTTTTTTGTCATAAGCCATATCCCACGATGTATACCTTGCATCTTGTCATTCTACATTGCAACTTAAAGATTACATAACGTTTAAAAAAAAGTTCTTTAACAGTTTTGTGTTTAGTGAATCCAATTGTGTGTTAGAGCGTTCCAAAATGGAAGTAAAAAAAGAGACAATTCGATACATTATTCAGTGTTGTTTACTTCACCCAATAATTAAAATTTAACTATTAATTACATTTTTAAATAATGACAAAAAAAAATATGAGTTTTTAGTTTTAAGAATTATTTATATTTCTATACGTCATCATTTTGATTACTAAATAAACTTCTTATTACCATCCCAGTACATATGCTGCTATATATATTTTTTTTGGGTGCATTGAAATAACTTCGTGATTAAAAAAGTAATTAAACAAACTGATGCGTGGATGTAATAAGCACGGTTCCTGAATGAACGTTGCTTTTCGTGCGTTTTGTGCGAATATTTCAAAAGGATTTCATATATGCATTCATGGATTTCTATTAATTTACTTCGAATAAATTCCATAAATGGTATTCAAAGAATCGAACATTTTAATTGGTTCCATTGATGATTGAAAAATATGATCGATTTAATCAAACGCATGGAGATTATTAATAATTGAATTGAAGTTATAATTACTATAGAAAACAGTAAAAATCGATAAACAATGTTAATATGTGTTTCGCAGGTGTTTATTCAATTTTGTTTTCTTATCTTTACACGTGTTTCGCTGGTTTTTAATTAAAACGCACATATTTTGCAGGTGTTTAAGAAAAACGCAGGTGTTCACGCAGATTTTTCTTATCACAGGTATTCAATCAAATGCAGGTGTTTCGCAGGTGTTCAATTAAACGCATGTGTTTTGTATCGCAACTGTTAAAAAAAAACACAGGTGTTCACGCAGATTTTTCATATCGCAGGTGTTCAATCAAACGCAGGTGTTCAATTAAACGCATGTGTTTTGTATCGCAAGTATTCAAAAAAACACAGGTGTTCATGCAGATTTTTCTAATCGCAGATGTTCAATTAAACGCAGGTGTTTTGCAGGTGTTGAATTAAACACGTGTGTTTCGTATTGCAAGTATTAAAAAAAACACAGGTGTTCACGCAGATATTTCTAATCGCAGATTTTCAATTAAACGCAGGTGTTTCGCAGGTGTTCAATTAAACACGTGTTCACGCAGATTTTTTTTATCGCAGGTGTTCAAATAAATGCAGGTGTTCAATTAAACATATGTGTTTCGTATCGCAGGTGTTCATTAAAAACACAGATATTCATGCAGGTGTTTCACATATGTATTGGCAATGTTTAATGATTTTATTGTATTCTTTAGTTTCTCTACAAAAGTTTATCTTTGTTTCAACTAAAACTTAAACAATTGCAATTTAATAACAAAAAAATGTAATTCGATAAATTAAAAATACAACAATTTCTATCTTTATAAAGAAATGTACCTGACGCATCCGCCATTTCGGAATTAAGTAATTCCTTTTTATTTTAAAATTATTATTTTTTATATAAAACGTTTTGTTAATTATTATTTTAGTAACATTGTTTTGAAAAATATATCTGCTCTTATATAATAAATTTTATTTTGTAATTCAATTTTCATAATTATTCTACATTTTTAACGTTAGAAGTTGTTAATAATCTTATAGTGTATAATAAAGTGCATTCCTTAAAAACACCACAAGGACTCCACAACGACATAACTACAAGATATTCCACAATGTCCAGAGATATTTGAATCCCGGGATACGACAAACTGTACATTTCAATTTACACAAATCTAGTACGTTTCAATAATAAAAATAAGAAAGTTAATTATGCTATTATATGCATTTAGATACGTGCATTTTCAAGTATTCGCGACATTAGATTCCGCACGTGATTTATTCACATTTATTATATGTGATTCAGTATTCATTGGAGACTGTTATTCGGTGGATCGGATATAAAAAAAACGTGTGTGTATGTATAACAAATGAAAACAAAACGAATAAGTGGACAATACTGAGCTTGAAGCACGTATTTCATTCACAAATACGCTGAAAAACTGGGGAATATATTGAATGATTATAATAAATTCTGTGTACATACGACCAAAACCAAATACTATTATTGCATTGTGCAAAAAAAAGGAAAGGAAGTAAATATGAATATTCATGTCGATTTGCTATTTCGAAGCACAGTTTTTACAGTTTTTCGTGATTTTCGACAAATCCTTAAGATAATTACATCATCGACCACTCGTATGAAAGCTGAATGTCTCACCTTTCCAACGAGCCTATTGGCATCTTGGTACTGTCAT